TTTTTTTTTTTTTTTTTTTTTTTTTTTAATCACTCAAATTCAACACTTTACAGTAACCAGTGGGTGAACACAAAGAAAAAGAGATACAAAATTACAATGAAATAAAGAGAAAATAAAAAATAAATAAATTACATAAAAACATGGAAATGTTTACATGCATTAATACACTTAACAGCTTTCTTGTTTATCAAATTGTAAATTGATTTTAGGTATTATTTAACTTCTGATTTCAAAATGAGAAACAATGGTTTATAATTGCCGTACTTGCATTTATGTATACTAAACTTTGCCAGCAAAAGTAATAAATTAATCAAATAATATTCCTTATGGAAGTGTATCAATATCACAGTTAAATCTGTTTACAAGGAAAAAGTTACTGAGGTAATATTTATAAATGAGTTTGAAAGAAATTTATTTTACTTTATTTGTGATTAAATATTTATGAGGTCATTTCCAGATTTTATGCCATATCAAACCATCAACACAGCTATTCCAGAAAGTTACAATAGGAGGTCTAGAGACAACATCCCTTTGAAAAAGGGCCCGAACCTGTCGATTATTGTGTTTAACAGAGGAAGAAGAAAAACAAACTCGACCAACAGCAGTGTCAACAGGATCAAAAGACTGCAGAGAAGATTGGGGACATGTATTTTTACAAAGCATTTTTAAACCAGAGGGGACAGCATCCATAACTACAGCATATTCTTTAGGAATGATTGGGATTTTAAATTTAGACAAAAATTCAGAATAAGAGTAAATGATGATTTGTCGCCGTGACATGTGGTCAGCTGACGTCACGCGCTCGAGCGTCACGCGGGGATCAGCTGATCGGGATCACTTCCGCTTTGGAGTTCGCGATGTTTTGACGGAGTCCTGCTGCAAATATCGCTGCTCATTCATGTGAATACGGTCACATTTGAAGGTATTTCAGTCTTCTCATCTGTGCACTTCATCAGATGTGGTTTTACTTTCGACGCGGGGAGGAACTGGTTTTCCAGACACATTAGGAGATGCTGGGCAGTCATGGAGCATGATAAATGCTTTGATCTGGGTTTTGTGGAACATTATTGGAATATGACAGTATCATGAGTAAGAGCAGGGGTGTATTACACTCATTATAACTGCGGGAAAACGCGCGTATTTGTCCCAGAGATTATTATTCTTTTATAAAGATAGACGTTTTTTTGTGTGTGTTTTAATCTAATCCACTTACAGAAGAACTGTGGTACTATTATAATACAATGTCAGATGGTAATATCATAATGGAAGTGTATATGGAAATATAACCCACACAGATGGATGTTATAAATTGATTTTCTTCTGTAATGCTATATTTTTTTGTCAAATGCAGTGGAAAATTAAGGCATATACTAAACACAATCATATTTATGGATAAATATAACCATTCATAATAATAATTAACAGCAATATTTACTTGCATATGTTCTTATTACACCATTTTAAAGCATGTAAAATGTCGCACAGAGACTTCCTTGATAAGTGTTGAGTGGTGATGCAAATGAATTATTGAGCCAACTCTTAATTTTACATATGTAAGCTACTTTATGGTTTTCCATCATGCTTTTTGGTAAAGGCTGCATTTATGTTGATCTGGCGTGATGCGTTTGTTGCAGCTCTGGGCGTTTGGCTTCTGTCACCTTCTCTTCATGAATACTTCAGACAGTGAAGAGGACTCTTACAACGAGAGGTCCGCTCTGGTCCAGTGCGAAAGCCCAACCATCCCCTCGTACAACCAAGATCATGATATGTCTCTGCCCCAGGAAACAGACACCAAACGGGTAAGTGGACATGAATTCTCCTTCCTCTCTTTTGAAAGAACTAAGCTTGACGTGTGCTAATACAGAGTTGTTACTTTGCATCGACAAATCCCATTTTTATCGTCCTCGCCTGTAATTCCCGCAGCGGCGGCCGGTCAGCTCAGGTTTGGACGAGCCAGGGCCGGTGGAGCGAGAGCGAGCATCCACTCCTGACGGAGAGGAAGAGGAGCTGACCCTCAAATACGGCGCTAAGCACGTCATCATGCTCTTCATCCCCGTCACGCTCTGCATGGTGGTGGTGGTGGCAACAATCAAGTCTGTCAGCTTCTACACGGAGAAGACCTCACAGCGGCTGTACGCGCTTTGTTACCTCAGAGTTAAGCCAAAAATAAAAAACAATTCTGTCATTCATTATTCATCCTCATGTCATTCTAAACTTATATATTTCCATGAAACTGCGTTTCAAAAGGGGATTTCACAAGATATAAGGAAACAAATGTAATATTGTGAAATATTATTACAATATAAAATAACGTTTTTCTATTTTAGTATACATTAAAATCTAATTTATTCCTGTGATGCAAAGCTGAATTTTCAGCATCATTACTCCAGTCTTCAGTGTCACTTTATACTGGATTAATGGCTGATGGAAATTCAGCTTTGCATCACAGAAATAAATTAGACTTTAAAGTATATTCAAATAGAAACCATTATTTTATATTGTAATAACATTTTGCAAGATTACTGTTTTTTTCTGTATTTTTGATCAAATAAATGCAGCCTTGATGAGCATAAGAGACTCCTTTAAAAAACATTACAAGTCTTACTGATCCCAAACTTTTGAACGGCAGTGTATATATACGTGTATATATATATACATGTATATATATATATGTATATATATGTATATATAATCAGTCTTTACTACCACCTTTGAAAAAAAAAATGTTATTGTTGTTTTAAATATTGTTTTTAATATTACAGTTTTTCAAAAAAAAAATCATTTTTTTCCCCCTTCATTTACCTTTTTGTTTTTAATATTATGTTTTTAATATAATTTTTTCAGTATTATAAAATGTGAAGAATTTGCTTTCTATAATATTGTTATCATATTGCTTTGCAATGTAGGATGTGTCATAAAAAGTAACAGCCAACAGATTTGAGGGTGAATGAATGATAACAGTGTTTTCTTATTTGAATCAATCCTTTACAAAGAAGCAAAAATGTATGGTTTGTGTGTGTTTTGCAGCATCTACACTCCGTTCGAAGAAGATCCGAACTCCGTCGGTCAGAGGCTCTTGAATTCGCTCCTCAACACCATGGTCATGATCAGTGTGATTGTGGTCATGACGATAATACTGGTGGTGCTTTATAAGTATCGCTGCTATAAAGTGAGATCCTCTTTATTACTACAACACTATAGAGTTCTGTGGTTTGACTGTGACTTTATGATTATAACACTATAACTAAACTACTCCCGTCTTGTTATAAAAATCCTTGCTGTATTTTCTGAGAGGTGTTTTTCTGTGTGTGTGCAGTTCATTCACGGCTGGCTGATTCTGTCTTCACTGATGTTGCTCTTCTGGTTCAGCTTCATGTATCTGGGGTGAGATTCTGCTGAGCTTCGCTTTCTTGTAATACTGCTACTGGATGGATGTGTCAGCGCTGGATGATATAGCTGAAATCATGATATCTTCATACTTTTAGCCTTTCGAGAAGACTGCGTCATTGATTTCAATTGTGATCACGATTTGTGGTTCTCTCAAATAATTAAGCATAATCACCTGCAATATTGTTTTTTGTTCTTTTTGAATAGAAAATACACAATTTGCAATTATTGGAATTAATATTGGGAATTTAACTTTTTTTGGGTTTTAGCATTTGAGAGAAGCTTCTTGGTTTTACCAGTTTTCATAATGTAGAGATTGTGTTAATGTATGTGATAAATATAACAAATAAGGAAACCAGGTGAGGTCAAATAAACAAGAAAAAAAGTAAAAATGAGATCAGTCGTGATTAATAATCACAATGTAATTTTTGAGCAAACTAATAATGAGTCCTACCTTTTGATGCTATCCTAATATTTATCTACTTGCTCTTAAAAGGATAGTTCACCCAAAAATGAAAATTCTGTCATTAATTACTCACCCTCATGTCGTTCCAAACCCGTAAGACCTTCGTTCATCTTTGCAACACAAATTAAGATATTTTTGATGAAATCCGAGAGCTTTCTAACCCTCCCATAGACAGCAACGCAACTGAAATGTTCCCAGATCCAGAAACGTAATAAGAACATCAGTAAAACTGTCCATGTGACATCAGGGGTTTAAACATAATTTTATGAAGCTGCAAAAATAGTTTTTGTGCGCAAAGAAAACAAAATTAACAACTTTATTCAACAATTCTTCTCCTTTGCACCCTAGCACCATTTTGGAGAGTATCACGATGCATGCACAACATGAACATGAGTAATTAATGACAGAATTTTCATTTTTGGGTGAACTGTCCCTTTAAATGGCTTAGAAGAGTGATTTTTGTTGATTGCAAAAATGTGGTTCAGAAAGTGGCTTTTTTTTTTTTTTTTTACACTAAATGAGCAAACGAAATAATGATATCTAATCATTTTTTATGGAGTAATATAACAGTACGTGGTAATAAGCAGCAATATTTTAAAGAATGTAATATGACAGAGTTCCATGAACAATTTTGAGTGATTATGTAAATGAATTGATTAGCAGAAATGAATCAAACTAGATCGATTGATGATGATGAATCAAACACTTCATAATATGACCCCTTTAAATCATCTTTATTCCTAATTTAGTTCCTTATTTATAAGTAGTTGTAGTTCCTAACTTTTGTCAAACCCTTTCCTTTCCAGCGAGGTGTTCAAGACGTATAACGTGGCTATGGACTACCCAACGTTAGTGATGATCATCTGGAATTTCGGCGTCGTGGGAATGATCTGCATCCACTGGAAAGGGCCGTTGCGGCTGCAGCAGGCGTACCTTATTGTCATCAGTGCCCTCATGGCCCTCATCTTCATCAAATACCTGCCCGAATGGTCAGCATGGGTCATACTGGGAGCCATCTCGATATATGGTACGGTGCCAGAAGATTGATTGACAGACCACAAACCATCTGCTTCTGCATTTGTTCTTCAACTTCTCTGTCACTTCCTATACTGTGACTCTCATTCACATTTAAAATAAGGATTGTTATTTCTTTAAGGGGTTAATCAGGCCTAAAATTAATATTCTGTAATTATTTAATCTGTAATCACCCTTGTTCCAAATTTCTTTGACTTTCTGTCTTATGTGGAACATGAAATAATACTGGGAAGAATGTTGCTAACAGTTTAAGTTCCCATTGACTTCCATTGTATTTTTTCACCAGTGGTTGCAGACATTTCTCAAAATATCTTTTATGTTCTGCAGAAGAAAGAAACGCTTAAAGGTTTGGACCGACATGAGTAAATTATGACAGGATTTTCATTTTTGGATGGACTATCCCTTTAACTTGTTTAATGTTAAAAATTCAGTTCTTAAAGGTACAGAACATAATTTTCTAAAATTTTTTGTAGTGGCACAGAAATGGCAAAATCACTGAAAATGCTCATATCTGTGGGATTAGTGCACATGATTGTTTCACGGTTTGTGTGTTTATTTTCCAGATCTGATAGCGGTGCTTTGTCCGAAAGGCCCGTTGAGGATGCTGGTAGAGACGGCGCAAGAAAGAAACGAGCCAATTTTCCCTGCACTCATATATTCATGTATGTCTTGAAAAATGAAACCAAGAACATACAGCATACAGACTCACAACAATTGGGATTGTCTAAAAATGACACTAGTTTGCATCACCACATTTGTAATCAGCTAGTTTAACCACTTTAAGTCCAGTCAAGATGGGTCATGCACTAATACATTTTCTCTTTCTCAGCTGCCATGGTTTGGATGGTTGGCATGGCTGATTCTAGTAATCCAGATTCCGGTGAGCTGCACTTTACTAGTGCTTTTTAGTACTTTTTTCCAAGACCTTGAAATGCTTTGTGTGGAAAGTGGAATCTAATACCTTGTAACCTAGATATTGGTGAATAAGCTGTTGTTGTCCTCTCAGCTGATGAAAGGCAGCGGAATGAGGGCGGAGCTTTAGCACAGGAAGGGGTGGAGTCAGAGGATGATGCGACTCAGGGAGGGAGGCGTCGGTATTCAGCAGAAGAGGACCTTGAGGAAGACCGTAAGTGGTTTCTGTGACTACAGCCTCAGTGTGATACAGATCATGTTCTTTGCTTACAGTACTTCACTTACAAAGCATGTAATTAAGGCACAATGAGGTGAACTAGTTAAAAATGCCTCGGGCAATCAAAGCAAACTTAACAAACAGGTTTGACTATTTTCATTCTAGTGTCATATGCTGAAATGCCTGTTGGTTGGCTTTCTCACAGGAGGGGTGAAGCTAGGTCTTGGTGATTTCATCTTCTACAGTGTGCTGGTGGGAAAGGCGGCCACCACCGGAGGAGACTGGAACACCACACTGGCCTGTTTCGTGGCCATTCTCATCGTGAGTGTCTCAACTAGCCTTTAAGATCCGTCATGTACAGACTAACATTCACTAATAGAGATGTTTTTTAATGTTTAAAGTCTATTATGCTTGCCGAGTCTGAATTTATTTGGGAAATGTATCAATTGAAAATGGCTTTTTTATATTCAAATATATTTTAAAATGTAATTTATTCCTGTGAATTTTCAGCATCATTACACCAGTCTTCAGTGTCACATGATCCTTCAGAAATCATTCTAACATGCTGATTTGCTGCTTAAGAAACGTTTCTTATTATTATCAATGTTGAAAACAGTTGTGCAGTTTAATATATTTGTAGAAAACGGTAGTGTAGTACAACTGTATGGACAAATTGGTGTCAGATATGAACTATAATATTAAATGGCTTTCATCTGTTCAAGAGTTACTATGCACTGCCATTTTTTAGATTTGCATTTAAAAAGTTGAAAAGAGTGACAGAAACTTGACTTCAGTAGACACATTATTACAAGTCATTACATAACTAGTTAACTTTAATTTCTATAGAAAAAGAAGAAAAAACAAATATGTGACCCTGGACCACAAAACCAGTCATAAGGGTCAATTTTTAAAAATTGAATAAATAAATAAATAAATAAGCTTTCGATTGATGTATGGTTTGTTATGATAGGACAATATTTGAGATACAACTATTTGAAAATCTGGAATCTGAGGGTGCAAAAAAAATCTAAATATTGAGAAAATCGCCTTTAAAGTTGTCCAAATGAAGCAATGCATATTACTAATCAAAAATGAAGTTTTGATATATTTACAGTAGGAAATTTACAAAATATCTTCATGGAACATGATCTTTACTTAATATCCAAATGATTTTTGGCATAAAAGAAAAATCAATCATTTTGACCCATACACTGTGTTGTTGGCTATTGCTACAAATATACCCATGCTACTTAAGACTGGTTTTGTGCTCCACGGTCACATATAAACATCTATAATAAAAGGAAATCCCAAAATGCATTGTTACAAGTACATACTTTTAAGTACCTCTTATATATTGTTATATTATATTATTATAAAACCTATACTTTTATATTTATTAAATATAAAAATGTTTTTACTCATATTGTTTTTTTTGTTGTAATATTTATATTTAATTCAGTACTAAAGATATTGATAATAATAGTTTAATTAAACATTGACTGTTGTAAACAATAATTGTTTGCTATGTATTTTTATTGCTAGCTACTGTATGTTGAATGTTCCAAATGAGTGGATGATGTCTTAGTGGGGCAGTAGAAAGCTCGCTAGGTTTTGGAGCAGAGCCTAAGAGTTTGATTTAGGGTTGTTGTTGCTGATATTGTGGTTGCTTTGCAGGGACTGTGCCTGACGCTCCTCCTGCTGGCCATTTTCAAGAAGGCTCTGCCGGCTCTGCCCATCTCCATCACCTTCGGCCTGGTCTTCTACTTCTCCACAGACAATCTGGTACGGCCCTTCATGGACAGCCTGGCAGCCCACCAATACTACATCTGACAGAAACCCACTGACACATGAAGGACTTTATCAGAACACAGTCATTATGCTTCAGTGAGATTCAAACGTTTTTATTTCTCATGAATCTGAGTGAGTGAATGAAGGTGTGAAATGTATCAAAACAAGCAAACCGATTTCAGTTCTGTGTTGTCATACATCTTTGCATTGGCATTTAGTTTTTTATTGAGAAGCTGCACATCAGCTCTTTAGAATATACAGTAGGTTTACCTTTTTTTTTTTTTTATACTTACTGAGAAGGTAAATGACTTTTTGGCATCCCGACCAGTGTCAGTGAAGGGTCCTTTTTCATAAATACGACTTATGAAGTGATGAAAAGATTGCTGCTAGTTTCAGTGGTGAGACAGAAGCCTGTATATATGGCCTGCATACAGCAGTGTGAGTGCTGTAAGCTTGCCAGTGGTTACTTACAGCATAATAAACTAATCACACAAATAGAGTTTTTCCTGCATACTTTCGTTTTTAGAATCCCTAATATTGTGGAAGGCTCATGAAAGTGTATAACGTAGGTTTATCATGATGTCGGCAAACGGGATGTGATCCTAAATCAACATATTTGTTGGACCTACATAGGGCTGGGTGATATATCTAATATTCACAATAATTTTGCTGGCGATATCAGATTTTTATGTCATTCACAACGTTGCATTTTAGTTGCAGAAGATGAGAAACCAAACCTAAGATTAAACACGTTAACATTTTATGGATGGCTAAAACGGAGCAGTTACCAACCTGTCATGTTAGCTCAGGTCCATTAATTAATATGAACAGAGGCGACTTTTGATTTGAATAATGTATCAGTAAATGTTTAAATTAACATTAGCTAATATTAATAAATGCTTTAGAAGTCTTTTTCATTTTTAGTTCATGTTAACTAATGCTAACAAATCGTATTGTAAAGTGTTACCCAAATACATAAACACCAAGATATAAAACGAATAATGTCAAATGGCTGTAAAATATAATTTAAAAATGTATGATATATTTAATATTTCCTAAGCTGTATCGCCCAGCCCTAGTCCTGGAACGACATGCCAAAATCCTGGTCACTGATGTAATTTTTGTGTTTGGAGATTTTAATTGAAATGCACATTTGCAAGTATCAGTTTACGAATTTGACAAAGTCTTTGGTTTACATTTGGTCTACAAACTGTTTGCTGACAATGTCACAGGCACTGTCAAATTTTAAATGAAGTACACTGGGAACGGTTATCTAGGATTTCTTCTAGACCCATATCAGGTATGCCAGCTCTTAGAAGTTGTTGGTGCCTTGCTTTGTGGTTTTTCTGTGCCATTGAAATTGCAGCCGAGAACTAGTGCACTGGAGGTACAATACATTACAGAGACACAAGGACAGAAACTGAATTCTTTTACTCTAGTTTACAGACTTTCAGGTCAATAGCAATGTATTCATGCTGTTTTTCCACATCATATTCAATGTAAAAAGGCATCTATAATCTTAGTATGAATTTTCTCAAACTAATTGAAAACGTGTTGGTCGTATATAGCGCCGAGAATCATTCTCTGTAAGATGATCGGCTCTCGGCTTTATAAATGTGTTCCTTTTTTATCAGCTGTTACCTGAATGGAAACAAACCATTGCTATCACACGTTTTTATACTGCTTTATGAATACAGAGACCTTTCATGGACATGGTGATTACGGCTGCTTGAGAAACAGATGTGCTTTGAGCGGTTTAGGAGTATTTTGCATATGCTGAGAGCGTTTAATCTTTATACTGAAGAAAGAAATTATATTTACTACAGATTAAAATTTGAATTGTTTTTATATGTTCACAGTTAAAAGGAATTGTTTTCCTCTCTCGGTTTTGTTTGTTATTGTCATGCACAATGCTAGGTGTCGTGTAATATTAAAATATCAAGCAAATAAATGGGAATGAAGGATTGTTCCTGAGCTGGATTTTTGTACATGCCAAGCCAATTTAGTGTCAATTTTAGCTGCCTTATTAATTACCAAATAAAGAAAATCCACACCAGTGAAACATATGGCTGCTTGAACATTTTATTAGAGCTTAAAAAACTACATTAATGTTGGCAAACAAACAGTTTGAAGAGAGACACCATTACATTTAAATTCACAAAAAAATACATAAAACAAAAAACTGTAATCCTAAATCTTCCACCCTGTGCATCTTCCACACACACTGCGTCTTTAATTTCGTTCCTCAAACTGGGACTTGTTCTTCAGTAAGAATGCCGCTAAAAACTCTATGGGATTTGGAGGCCTGAAGGAAGATGGATAGTGGAATTAGATACATAAACGTAATTGATACAAGAAGGACATTTTATTTTGATCAGACAAAAGGAATGAATTAAAGGAATTACTTAAAAGAATAATTTACCCCCCAAAAAAAGAACATTTGCTTAACATTTACTCAGCCTCAGGCCATTCAAGATGTAGATGAGTTTGTTTCTTCATCTGAACAGATTTGGAGAAATGTAGCATTACATCACTTGCTCACCAATGAGCAATCAACCTCTGCAGTGAATGGGTGCCGTCAGAATGAGAGTCCAAACA